ATCTGTATATAATCTGTATATAATCTGGAAATCCTATTTGCCATTATCTATCTTGTATTGTAAATCTACTAATACACATACAATTCATTCCTAACATTTCTGTATATTCTGTATAATCTGCATAATCTATATAGCTCCCATATCTTATTTATATTATTTTTATACTGAACATTTTATTTTTATAACAACCTTTGTACATCTGTATATACATATTTATACCCTGTATAGCACTTCTGGATAGATGCAAACTACATTTCGTTGCTTGTACTTGTGACGGTGCAATGACAATAAAGTTGAATTCTATTCTATCTAATTAAAATCCTTTTACTCTCATTTAAGAGAAAACTTCCAAAAAAACAATATCCAAACTACCAGTTGGGAGAAAAATATCACAACATACATTAAAACTAAACAAAAATTGTCTGCATTGAGAATCTGAAAGTTCAATTTATTTATATTTCTAAAACTGCAAAAATAACAAAATATGTAATAAATAAAAGAAATAGTCCAAAAGACAAAGACCAAAAACATCCAGAATCAACTTGAAGAAAGAAGAAGAAACAGGAGGACAATAGTGCTGAATCAGCATTCACACAATGAAAACATCTGGACTCACCGAGCCTTTCTGCAGTTCCTCACAGCTGGAACCAGTCTCTGTCGTCCATCCTCTGATGTGTTGTACTTCTCCAGGTCCAACTCATCCAGAACCTCTGACATCTGCAGCATGAAGGCCAGAGCTGAACAGTCAAACTTTGAGAGCTCCTTCCCTGAATCCAGCAGCCGTTGGATCTCCGGATAAAATGAGACGTCGTTCATCTCCATCAGACAGTAGAAGATGTTGATGCTTCTGTCAGGAGAGAATCCATCAGAGTTCATCTCCTTCAGGTTGGTGATGATTCTCTGGATGGTTTCTGGACGGTTCTCTGTCTGACCCAGCAGATCCTGTAAGAGTCTCTGGTTGCACTCCCCAGTGAGACCATGAAGGAAGCGGACAAACAGGTCCAGGTGGCAATTTTTACTGCTGAGGGATTTCTTCATGACTTTCTTCATGAACTCATCTAGAGATGTTTCATTGTATTCTTCTCCCAGGAACGTTTTGATGACCCCTGCCCTCCTGCTGGTGAAGCAGTGGAGCATGTAGACGGCAGCCAGAAACTCCTGGATGCTCAGATGAACAAAGGAGTAGACGGAGATGTTGCGCGTTCCTCTCTCCTTTTTAAACATCTCAGTGAAAACTCCTGAGAACAACGCAGCATCTGTGATGTCGATGCCGCAACGTTTGAGGTCTTTGTCATAGAAGATCAGGTTTCCCTTCAGCAGCTGATCTAAAGCCAGACTACCTAGAGACTCAATCAGCTTCCTGTTCTCTGGACTCCAGATAGATTTAGTCTTTTGTTGTCCATCATACTTTTCCTCCTTGATTTTGTTCTGAACCAGCAGGAACTCTATGTACATCTCAGTCAGGGTGCTGGGCAGCTCTCCTCCCTCTCTGGTCTCCATCACATCCTCCAGAACTGTAGCAGTGATCCAGCAGAAAACTGGGATGTGACACATGATATAGAGGGTTTTTGATGTCTTGATGTGGGAGATGATCCTGCTGGCCTTCTCTTCATCATCACTGAATCTCTTCCTGAAGTACTCCTCCTTCTGGGGGTCAGTGAACCCTCTGACCTCTGTTACCATGCCAACACACTCAGCAGGGATCTGATTGGCTGCTGCAGGTCGTGTGGTTATCCAGAGGAGAGCAGAGGGAAGCAGTTCCCCCCTGATGAGGTTTGTCAGCAGAACATCCACTGAGGTGGACTTTTCAGGGTCAGTTAACATTTTAGTCTTGTGGAAATCCAGAGGAAGTCGACTCTCATCCAGACCATCAAAGATGAACAGAACCTTGAACATTTCAAAGTTGCTGATTCCTTTGGTTTTAGTGAAGCGTTCATGAATCAGTCCCACTAAGCTGAAATGTTCTTCTTTCAACATATTCAGCTCTCTGAAAGTGAATGGAAATATGAAATCAATGTCTTGGTTGGTTCTGCCTTCAGCCCAGTCCAGAGTGAACTTCTGTGTTAACAGTGTTTTCCCAATGCCAGCCACTCCCATGGTCATCACTGTTCTGATTGGTTGATCACTTCCAGGTGGGACTTTAAAGATGTCTTCTCTCCTGATTGTTTCTTGTTTCCTGGATGCTGTTTCAATCCGTCTGACCTCATGTTCCTGGTTGACCTCTCTAGTTAACCCCTCTGTGATGTGGAGCTCTGTGTAGATCTGGTTCAGAAAGGTTTGATTTCCATGTTCA